ATCAAGTAGCCAATCAGCTGGTTCTAGCCGTAAATTCCGGTTCTACTAGCAGGTCAAATGAACATACTGATTCATCGACTCTGGAGGTAGTGGGAGATCGATTACCGATTGCGTGGTGTGGTGTTTGATGTGTAAAAGGTCACGCGTGCTTCAGTATGAATTTAATGAGCAAGTAGGAAAAAGAGCAATTCTTGAAGTGGGCACGCACTCTTTGCCTGCAAACAACACCTCATCTTTGACACCAACTCACTCTATGCGGGGCGATTCGGTTGAAAGGCATCGAGAAATCGAAATACGCCTGGAACGTCAGCACGTCCTTCTCGTAGTTACTCCGACCGCCAGACGCAAGTGGCTTGTTCTTCGGTGGAATCTGCGGTGGTGGAATCCGCGTGGTGCAGAGCTTTGGAGGGATTTCCAGACACCTACAAAAAAAGGCGTGGGCCACCAATCAGCGTTTCGTCACATTGGGAACAGTTGTCTGGGTGGGGGAAGGTTGTGGGACAACTTACAGTCTTTCGACTTCGCGTAGAACATTAAGGTCCCTGCACATCATGTCCGCCATTATATTCATGACACCTGACTCAACCTCGGGACCTAGCATGGGGTCAAGCGATCAGCACGCCTCACCTGACAAGTCCGCGACGGCCGTGTTGAAGTTGACTTGTTTGCCGAAACGGAAAACCGCGTACGCGACTGGTTCCAGACCGGCTGCCCGAGCTTTCGCCGCCAGAGTTTTGGGCCCTGTCTCCTTGAAGGGTTCCATCTGCGTACAAGAATGAGTACAAATTCACGCCAGGACTTACAATCAGCGCGACATCCGTCACGGTCTTGCACTGGCGCAAGCTTTTCTTCAGGTCCTCGGTCATGACGCCGCGTGAGGTAAGGTGTTTGAAGGCATTCTCTACCTTGTCGATTACCTCTCTACAAGTGACAAGTAAAGCTGACGACGCAGGCTATGGGGCACCATCATCACAAACACACACACACACACACACACACACACGCAAAGTTAGCGGATACATGTACGATCGTGTTCAAATCATCCTTCTGTCTATTTGCAAGCTCGATTGTTCCCATTTTGGTCCGATTGGGGCCGGTGAAAATGCCAATCAGGCGGTGGACAAAGAGAAGTGGAACAAAGGTAGACAAGGGCCTAACAAGGGGACGTCATAAATTGTCCTACAAATGGATTTTGGTGGATTTCAAGAATGTTAAAGAGGGGTTTACTCTGCTCAGCGGGTTAACAGGATCGCTCCAGTTAGGGCATGGTTTGAGAGAAAATCGATGGAAAAGTAAATGTAAGTGCTTGGCAGACAGAGTTCGAGTCCCACCACTGGCCTGCGTTCTCACATTTTCCTGTTTGTGCTGTCGATATACTCAATTTCACTGTCTACACGGGGATGTGATCAAAAATGGGGCAAATACATCTATTCATTTCGATGCGATTAACAAAAAAGCAGGAGCGCACACCCGCCTGCCAAGTTTATTCAGTTACTGGCATTAAAATTTAATAACAATTTTATCAGAAAATACGATATATCTGGTGAAATCCTGCGGCGAATCCCTTTTCGACACACCAAAAGAAAAGCCTACCTGTAGGAGGTCAATTTAGCCTTAATCAATCGTAGGGCCTCGGGCTCCATATTGCCCGTCGCTTCCTTGCGGTAGCGAGCTATGAAGGGCAGGGTGTTCCCATCGTTGAGCAAATTGATGACTCGCGAAGCGGTTCGGTTGTCGGTACCGGTGGAAGCAGCTACCTCTGTTACCACATCCCAGTCCACGTCCATTGGTTCCATGCCGAATCTTGGAAAAGGAGAAAAAATGAGAAAAAATTGCGAGTAAGGAGCCGTTAATAAGTTTCTAATTGTGGATTTAACTGTAAAGTCAGGTCTGAAATGGGTGTAAAGCAGTTAACACGGGCAACTCATGCCATAACTTTGATGAGCGCAACCTAATGGGTTTAGCAAATAAGCATTAGTGAGAGCGACTTAATTACTTTAGTTTGCTATTGACTCAAAAATGAATACGGCGTGAAGATAGATGGAGGTGACCAATGCAACGACAATAAGAGCAATATTCAAAATGAACGCAGTTATGACTTGATCAAAATTCTTAAGACCAGCAAACTAGCAAACGTGTTCACCAAAAAACAAGTCTATCGATCACCCGCTTGAGGAGCAAGGAAACGGAAATCAAGTGCTTCAAGAAGCAAATTCTATGGAAGTGTGGAACTCAAAAATAGCCGGCGAAAGGTAAAGCAATTACTTGAAATCCGAAAAGAAGCAATTTATATAAAGATTGGTAATTATTTCATCAACAACTGGGAAACAAGAGTGAGAACATATCTAAGTATTGGAGGAAAGCTTAGGGTGCGAAAGAGCGGCATGCGCGAGAAGGGGAAAAGGCAATCGCTGTTGAACAATTAGGCTAGAATCAGAGTTAGTTCCTCTGAACGCATCTTGAGGACCAGGCAATTTTTAAAAACTCCTCGCGAATAAAATGATTGGACTTGTGCTATGTAAGTTAATAAGTTTAGTGTAATTCGAAACCTCTAGTTTTCTTAAGAAGCCACTTTTATTTAGTTCTTTCGACAAAAATTCATACTCAAAATTTGTTTGCGACCAGGTGGTGATTTTATTCAATTTCCGCGCTTATGAAGCCTGCCAATCATTCCTTTGAGTTTTAGTGGCAATTAGCCTCGTACATTTCTGTTTTTTTTTTAAATTTTCTTTTCTGCTGTTGCCTGTATTCTCATCATGTCGTGCCGCTGCGTACTTTGCAGCTATTTAAGTTTATGCTAGCAAAATTCGTTAGAATAAACCTCAATGTCGTTTCCCTCGATCTGTCTTTTCGATTTTTATGTCGACTGAAGTACCATTTAATTCCTATCCGACTCTTGGAGCAAATCGGTTTTCGCAGCTTTAAGGGTGGCCTTGCTCCTTTGAAAGTTCATATTTGCTTCTCCTAATTCCTTTTGAACCCCTTTTTAAGTATTCCTTATTTGTTATGCTATGTTTCTCTGTCTCTTGTATGTGCTTACTTTGTTAAACACCTTTGACAGGCGGGGTTTTAGGGTGTTTTTAATGTTGTAAAATGCCATTGACTACTTTAGTCGTCTCATGTCATCTAACACGTCTCCTTCGAAAGAGAACAAGCCACCTTCTGACCATATCAAACAGCTCGAAAACGAGGCGCGCATTCTTTACGAGAGTGGCAATATCTTGGGATCATTGAGGAAACTCCAGACTGCCTTTGAAATCTCTCCCACTGATCGACTAAAGCGCAGGATAGACCGAGTTAAAAGTCTTCTGCCCCATGAAGAACAGAAATCCCATGCCGCAACCGCTCTTGACCGTCTTATCACCGAAACCAATAACTTATCCATCCACGAAGATCGAGGGGTTGATAAAATTAGGCTTGCGAAGAATTCCTCCTCCTCTGGCAAGACCAGCTTAACTGGTAAAGAAAATGTAAGTGTTTAATTGATTATTTTTGTCTTTAGGCTTGTGAAGTTGTCAATGAGCTGCTGACAGCAGCTCGGCTCCTCTTTGAGGCTGGAAAAACAAAAGATTCCTTAGAGAAGGTCAAACAGGCTTACGCCGTGCTTCCAGACCCTAAGACTGCTCGCAAGATTGAACGTCTTGAAGCTGTTCTTGCGAGCGAGGAAAAACAAGCGGCTGTGCGTTTGCACATTGCTTTCATAAATATATCCAATGTCAGACATTTTGCTCTTCATAACCACTGCATTTAAGCCTCGAATAATGACTGCTAAACTTCCTTAGATCTCATTTATAAATAAATAATTAGTCTACCCCCACTTGTAGGAAGCCAGCTCAAGAAAATCGTCGAATATTTCCACTGAAAAGTCGCCAACCCAGCGGAAAAGCGTAAGTGGTCCTTCTTACCATGTTGGATGCTATCAATTTCGCAAAGAAGTAAACCTTTTCTATCTTTCTGGATATTTTACTTAATATGGGGTCTTTTGTTCAAGATCATCGTGATCTCCACTATTCGTCATTCTCTCACTCTGTCTTGGGACCACAAATCGAATGAATTGCGGCTTAGGTTTTGACATCACCAACATCTATTTAATCGATTCTGTCAGGCAATCAACTCTTTTCTTGAGCACGCTATCTTGCTTTCCTGCTTTGTCTGCTTTCGCACAACAAACTAAAATTCACGCCCAACTAACATCTACAGGCAAATTTTCGCGCCATTTGTTTCAAGAGTAAGCGTTAATTGACATATGTCGTAAGTTCGATGAAGATGCGCTCATTTGCCATTTTTTTGGTTTCTTACGTTGTTTTTGGTGCCTTATCTGTTTATCCTCGTCGTAGACTTCAAGTTTGAAGGATCCGGAGTACAGTCGTTCCTCAAACTCGTCTGATCATCCATCTGCTTCATCACCCACCGCAGAATCGGGTAACTCGTCTGTAAGTTTTGGTCCGTAGGCGGTCACCTCACCTAAATCTAATGAATTTGCCTAGCAATCAGGTTGTGCATCGATAGTCCTGATCACTTGGCATTTTCGCAAGCATCACTTAAGCCGAAAGCGATCTTCGTGTTTTACCGGTGTGAACGATTTTTCGGACTAGAGTTGATCCGTGCAGTTTGCTTTCCATTAGAAACCGAGTTTCCTCAATTTGCGAGTTACGATTTTGAAATTCTGATCCGGCTATTGTACTGAACCAAGTATGGGTAATTTAGTAGTTGTTGGTTCGAGTAAGCCTCTATTCCTGCCACACAGAATTCCTTGTGGTCGATGTCATCACTCCTATGGAAGTGACAAGCCATAAAATGGTGAAGAATGAGCTTTCCAAGCACACGCAACAATTTGTCTCGCCCCCCTGATCATTTCTTGATCTCAGCTGATTGGTTGGTCATAGCAACTGCGTCTTACCTTCCAGGCAAGCAACATGGTGGACGAGCTTCTAGCGGAGGCACGATCTCTGTGCAAAGAAGGGAAGATCCTCGAGTCTATTCAGGCCTTGGAGGAGGCCTACAAGTTTGACTCGAATCCCAAAATTGCCCGCAAGATTGTTCGCCTGAAGGCTAGCCTCGACAGTGGAGTTGGCGCCGCCCAAGTTGATCCCGCGCAGAAGGCCTCAGAGCTGGAGAAGAAAGCCCGTGAACTCTTCCACCAAGGCGACTATCCCTCGGCTCTGAATCTCCTCCAACGCGCCAACGCTCTTTGTCACACTGACAAACTTGAGCGAAGGATTGCACGTCTTAAGGACTTGATTAGCGTTTCGTCTCAGCAGGTAATCAGGCACTGTTGTTTGGTTGAGCAATGGTAAATCCTCCTGTTTTCCACGGATTCAAACGTGCTGGCCATGCGCTTGCTTGTATGTAGTTCTCAATGCATGACTTCACACCCTAACCGAACACGCGTGTGCTACTTTTTCCTAAATCTGTTAGCCGTCATTGGTTAATTCCACGATGATGAGTCGGCTTCGAATCAAACTCCTCTTTTGTAAACAATGCGCAATATAGTACAGGTGCAGTGTTTTCCCTTGGCATAGAGTGAAGAAGTAGCCGAGGAAGGCGACGACGATGATGTCGATGACGATATCGCCCAAATCACACGGAAGGCTGGAAACCTGTCGTTGCGAGTTGACTCGAAAAAGCCGCCTGTCAGCGGCGGCAGGAATGTTGTCGAGTTGGCGGACGACTTCTACCTACCCAGAGCCCTTCATGACGAACTCTACGAGTACCAACGCGATGGTGTTCGGTGGCTATGGAATCTGCACAAGACTTCTCCTGGTGGCATTCTCGCTGATGACATGGGTCTCGGGAAGACTCTACAGGTGAGTGGTGAAGGGATTGCGCGTCCTCCAGGACCCCTTATGGATCTGTGGCTATCGATTTTAAGAGATTGGAAGGGAGTACGTCGACATCTAACAGCTGGTATTCATGAAGTCCGTAGTGGAAGCGATGTGTCAATTGGTGCTGGAACAGCCGCTATGGCACACAGTAACCGGAGCTCGCTAAAATTGTTCCTTTACTTGTGCTCTTTGTTGTAGACCATCGCCTTTCTAACGGGTTTATTCCTCTCGGAAGAGGCTTCCAAGAAGCCACGCACAGTGCTGATCCTTACTCCAGTCTCCGTTATCAATACCTGGCAATCTGAGTTTGCCAAGTGGTCGCCGTCACTGAAACTCGTGACCTACTACGAGATGGCCAAGAACGCGCGCCAGAAAGCACTCATTTCTGTGCAGCGCCGAGGCGGCATTCTGCTCACAACCTACAACATGCTCGTCAGTGGTCTTCAGGACATTGGAACCGACCAGGCCGAGTGTGCTTGTGCCGACGCACCCTGGCGTTCCACGAAAACCGCTTCAGTCAAGGCCCATGCAGATTTCTACATCCGCAACTACGCCTTCACGTATGACTATGTCATTCTAGACGAGGCACATCGCATCAAGAACACCTCCACGATGGCTGCTAAGGCAGTGCGTGCGCTGGCCTCGCGGCATAGACTCCTCCTAACGGGGACTGCGGTACAGAACAATCTTCGCGAGCTCTGGAGTCTGTTCGACTTCACGCATGAGGGTCGGCTTCTGGGAACTCAGAAGACCTTCCTGATGGAATACGAGAAACCGATTATGCGGTCGCGGGAGCGCGATGCCACAGGCGCTGAGAAACTCTACGGCAATCTCATGTCGAATTCGTTGCTAAAAATGATCTCCCCGTTCATTCTTCGTCGAACCAAGCAAGACACGCTAGCTCCACTTGCTGCCGCGGATGCGAGCAAACGAATGCCCCAGAAGAACGAGATTGTTGTCTGGGTGTACTTGAGTCCTCTCCAGGAGCAGATTTACCGGAGCTTCCTCAAGTTGGACCATGTGAAGGAGCTGCTCTTCGGCGGAACCAAGCGAAGTCCTTTGGTTGAACTCAACATTTTGAAGAAGCTCTGTGATCATCCGCGGCTGCTTTCCACGGACCAGTGCGTGAATTTGGGACTGGATGTGTCCAAGGCGCTGCCCGGGAGTGACATTCGAGCGCCATCGCGAACGATACTCATGCAAGAATCGGGAAAGTTGGCCTTTGTCGTGAGGTTATTGGAGCATTTCCAAGAAGAGGCGCTTAAAAGCGGCTCACCGGCGCATCGCACGTTGATTTTTTCCCAGTCTCTTCGACTACTGGACATGACCGAAGTGGCCATCTTGGGAGCCAATGAGGCGGCTGGACGGTCTGTAGCGTTGCCGAAGCACAAAGTCCTCCGATTAGATGGACGACTGAAGAAGTTGGAGGAGCGCCTCAAAGTCCTTAACGAGTTCGCTTCCGATCACAGCTACACGGCAATGCTCCTTACCACACAGGTAATCGCGACTAATTACCGAATTCCGCGTGATTATTGATCATTTGGTTGCTATTTGCACGTTGTCACGCTCACAGTGCTTCAGGTATAAGACAGGTTTTCCCATCAACTAACTTTCCACGAGTAGCCAAAAATTGTCTTAATGCAAAACGATTTTTGTTGTGATTTGGCGATTCTGGACTTCATGAATGCGAGATGTCTCCTTTCAGGTGGGTGGTGTTGGCCTGACCATCACGTCCGCGGATCGCGTTGTTATTTTGGACCCATCCTGGAACCCTTCTGTGGACGCCCAGGCAGTGGATCGTGTCTACAGAATCGGCCAGCTCTCTAACGTCATTGTCTACCGCCTCATCACCTGCGCGACAGTCGAGGAGAAGATATACCGTCGGCAGGTCTACAAGGACTCCGTAATCCGCCACACCATCGGCCGTGCCGCTGTTGACTGCCCTGAAGACTCCAACGATCCATACCGCTATTTCACGCGTCAGGAGTTAGTTGAGCTCTTCACGCTAGATGAGAACTCGCGTTTCTCCGCCACTCAACGCCAACTCGCCGAGTTACACGGCGTGGAGGGCCGAAAAACCTACCCCGAACTGGAGGCCCACCTGGCTTTTGTGACGGCGATGAGAGATGTAGTCTTCGACATCTCCGACCACGATTTGTTGTTTAGTCGACAGGAGGACGCCGGAGACAGGCAGGCATGCGACCCGACAACTCAGCAGGCGGAGAAGTATTTTGCGGAGAACCGCTTGAAGGTCGGCGAGGCAATCCTTAACCTCGAGGCTAAGGGCGATCTGGCTGCCGCTGAGAGGCTGCGTCAAACGCAGTTCGCTCCCCGCAAACTCGTGTACAACCAGCCTGCGGGTGACATCTTTGTCCCCTCCAAAGCGGACTCACTAAGACCCATGTTCAACGCACCTGGCTGTGGAGCGAGGCGGTCGAACGAAGCAGCCACCTTCAAGGGGTCTCCCAAGCTTGGCTTCGTGCCCGCCTCCACACTACTAAAGGATTCCTCTCTCAAAGAACGCTTGACGGCTCCGCCTGCTGTTCCCACCTCACCCAAGAGTCGATATTCTATCGAATCACCGTCTCCCGTTCTCGATTCCCCTGATCGCCCCTCAAGCTCTCCATTGCACGTCACCGCCTCCCCACACAGTAGCCTGTCTATCCCCCCAGTGGTGCGTGAACCAGGGGTGTCGCCCCAGTCTGTAGAAAACAGCTACGACAGCGAGAGCTTTGTGTCCTCTGAAATTGCTGATGCCAATACAAGATCCTCTCAGCGGCTTTCACAAAGTCCGCGAGAAGAGGAGATCTCAATACCGACGTCTGAGGAATCGTCTAGGAGTTCAGATGACTCACTTGTGATATTTACTCAAGGTGCGCTAATTCAAGACCAACAACCTGCTATCACGAGGTTAGACTCCCCACAGACCAATCACACGCCGAAGAAGGCGCAGCCTACTGACAGTGGCCCGGGGGACAGTGTTGAGGCGTTTGCAAGACCTTCAGTATTTCCGCCCCATGTACGGACACCAAAGGCCACAAGTAGTCCCTTTCACACTGCGAGGTCGACATCGATTCGCGATGTGGAGATGGTGAGTTTGGACTTGACGCAGCCGGTGGAGGATGAGGAAATCGACAATTCCGTGCAGATGTTATCACTGCGACAGGTAAGAGAGAACTGCACAAGTCAAATGGATTCGTTTCATGTTCAACGTCGTTGAAAAAGCTCCAATGTAGTCCGGAAGGCGCTAGTGTCCATGTTCACAAACCCCCTTTTTCTGATTTTAGAGCCTCGCCAAATCGGGCATATTTTTAGACGGTGCTCCGACGTTTCATGTCGTCCATTCTTCTGATGAAAGTCAAGTATCTAACAATCACGACGGTGGTGGCTTCATTCGGGATTCTTGTGGTGGTGGTGGTGATGATGATCTTCAATCAACGGCATCTCAGGAAGTCTCTGTTCCGATGCTGTCAGATTCGATCGATGTCATTGAGGCTAGCTTTCCAGAGAGCGACTAATGACGCATTTTTTATTACTTTTTTTAGCGTACATATTTCACAATGTTGTGCTTTTGCTCGAGAGTAAAGCCCTGTGCATACGAGATATGACTTGGGTTATTTGTCTGGCGTGTTTTGGGATTCGTCTAGCTGGGATGCACAGGAATCGTTTTAGCTAACCCACCGCCACGGCGTACAAAGTTAAGAAAAGTAGTTTAGGTTAGGGCCCACGCTAGTGTGTCTGCTCGGGCACTCTACTGACGTTGGAACGATATAAACCCCCCGACTAGCAATGGCCAGGTTCTTCCGGGCAGGCGTGAGTCATGTCCAGCCTCGACCCACCTCTACTACGCACCAAGTGAAGCTGAGTAGCGGTTGCGATTCCCGGTAGACGCTCCTTGGCAGGAATATGTGTAAACAGCAGTCCCGCGTACTCCCCACCGAGGACTACAACTACATTGATTTACTCCACTAATGGTACTTTTACAGACAGACAGCCCCCCTGGATTAACTATCAACCGCAACGCACCTCCAATTTCCGCACTTCAACAACGGCGTGCGTCTCGCTTGGAGACCCAGAGTGAACAAAAATATATCTGGACACATTACAATTTAGTGGCGGGCGTCTGAAAACCACTTAACCTCTTCCATAAGAATGATCGCGGACCTCATAACTTAAACACAACAAAACATGCGGAGTGATAAAAAAATACACCCTAAGAAAAAAAAGCTAAGCCTCCGAGGGGAGGCATGAGAAATCCCTGTCTTCAGAAAGTGCAAAACCTACTCTGGGGTCGAAAAACAAAACATCGTGACACGCGGTTGACTCGGTACGAGCAGAAATCCCAATGAAAAACGAAATACCCGTTAGCGCAACCAGCAAGAATTCGCTCAAAATAATTGTAAACCGACCATACAAACGTCTTTTATTAAGAAAATCAACTCATTTTGAGTTTCAATTCCTTGGCCTTGGCCCTCTCCAATTTCGCGACTCGGGCAAGTGATTTGGATCCCATGATACCGCCACCCCAGTGTTTACGAATCTAAAAGTAGTGGATATAAGTACTTCATCGGCCTACCTCATCATGGCGATCATTGAAGTTGGTCTTGACTGTTTGGATTATTTTGGCCAAGCGCGGTTTGTCCTCGCTAGGAAACAAAATAAGAACTCGAAAAAGAACTTACGACTTGACCGTTGTGAATGCCAAACAGGTACAATTCTTCCTGTGAACAACACGGCCAAGACGAGCCTTGCCCTTTACAATGGCATACGGAACACCCATTTTACGGCAAAGAGCAGGCAAGAAGAGCACTATTTCAATAGGCTCCACGTCGTGCGCGATAAGCACAAGCTGCGCTTTCTTGCTCATAACAGAGGCAGTGACTTCACGAATTCCCGACTTCACACATGGTTTTCGCTCTTGCGGCGTGTCAGGTGCACCGCCAGCACGCTTCTGCGCACGGTGAGTGAGCTGTGCCTTCTTGGCCTGCTTCGTTAATGGCTTATACTTGTTACACAAGTTGAAAATTTGGAGTGCTAACCAAGAATGACCAAATTATGAGCTTACAAGTAGGCCGGTCAAGCGCTTCGGAGAACTGGTTAACAGGGGGAGGGATCTTTAGACGTTTCTTGAGAATTGCCCGCTGACGTTGAAGCACGATATACTTCGGCCATTTTACAAAGCGGTAGACGTTTCGTCTGGGCTGGATGGCCTGGCCAATGCCAAAGTTCTTCGGTCTTTTTTGAATCAAAGGATTTTTCTTGGGAGCTTTCTTCACTTCAGTAGTAGCATGTTTCTTAGCGATCTCAGGAAGAGCGGCAACCTTCGACTTGCCCTTTCCTTTTGTTTCTTTTGCTGGCAGGACAGGAACATCCTGCGCCTTAATTTCTTTGATTTTCTTAGCCTTAATAACCTTCTTCTGGCCGACAGGCTAAAAGAGCACAGCAGATAAGCGTAAAAACATTGAAAACTTACCATGCTTGAGGATACAAGTAGGGCGCCAAAATAAGTGTCTAAACAAAGTCAGAACTGGCTATTTAAACATGCCGAAATTTTTTGGGACGATTGTAAAACTAAAATCATGGTAACATTTGCATTACAATTACATATAATAAATTTTAAATTAGGAATTTTGCATTTCTAAACAGAAGTGTCCAAAGAGTTTTTTTAGTACTCAATTTCAGGTTAACTCAGTGCCTAATTGAGTAGTTTCTTTCTGCGACTACTTAGCCACTTACCCTTAAAAAAAAATTAATTAATGGCATGTAACGGACGTGTGGCTTTCTATTAAAGTGCCTAAAATAATAAAAAATTTTTCTTGGCTTGAATTTATATGTAAAGTGTGTAGGAGTGTATTTCGATAAACTAGTACATGCGTGTCAGTGTCCTCGATCAAATTTTTACTGCTAGACTAAAATTTTTTTAAAAAAAAATAGTTAAATTAAATTTGGTTTTTTAGAAAACGTACTTTTCAAATGTTCATTACAACCTATAAAAAATGTTCTTGTAAGAATAAACGTAATAAATTTGCTTATACATGTGGCTATAATTATTACAGTGTATATATTTCATTTGTCAACTTGCTGCGTGTTTTGTCATTGGGCAAAACACATGCCTAATTACTAATCCTTTTTTTACTGTTTGATATACATGGAACCGTACAGCGCCGAATACGTAAGAATCTTCATTTCTGCAGTCAAGCGCTAGCGTCATAACCTAAAATTTAAAAAGGTTCTGTTCTATTTATTAGCCGCTGAAAAAGGGACCTCATTTTTAGCGAACATGAATTTTGAACGTTGTTCATTTTTAGCGAACATGAGTTTTTAACGTTGGTAGTATAAACCTAATTTCCTTGTATGGTGTTAGGCTCAACTAAAACTGCAATCTATCTATTTACCATTTTGACTTTCACCTCAGTTATTTCATTGGGGCCAAAGGTTACATCCGCTCGCTGTGTTCTATTACTCATTCATAGTTGTCTTTGGTTACCGTGAAGATCTTCATCGGCGTGGCTCAATATATCTTTGATAATGTACGCCACTGTAGACTAGCTTTATGTAAACTATTTCTCTATATTTAAAATATGTTATAGGGGCCATAATACCCTTAGTGCTCACCATTTCATTTAACAAAATTATACTTTTTGAACACATAGATGTCATAATAAGAGCTGCGAAAGGGACGCAACACTACAAACTACAAACACTACAAACTTTGCAGAAATATCCCGCACAAATTCGTGCTTGATTTTTGGGAAACTATATTCAGACGATGACACTTGTTCCCGATAATGTCCACCAATTTCAAGCTTCAGTTAAAAACAAAGCAGATTCAGGTTCCGAAGCTGAAGTATACACCTCCATATCTGCTCCTGGTACACTACTCAAACGGTTGTCCATGAAATCTTTTCTGCGAATTGTTTTAGGCCATCGTTCTTGAAACACGTTTATTTAAAATGTTTTTGCTTCTTCCGATTATTTATGCGACTATTTCTTTTGTTAGTGTCTGATTGGCTGTCACGGTTGGTCGGATCGAACGGTCACTTTTTGACATTTACCCTAAGAATTTTTTTAAATACGTTGCACCTAATAAATTTAATTCACATTTTTCAAAGGCTATAAATGCTTATTTACCATTATTTGAGCGTCCTTTTTGTCATAAAAGCATGTTTAGATTATGAATATTTTTTCGTGTCGCATCCATAACCTTGAAATCCTCCAATTACCTAAGCATCATCTAGTATAGTTAATCCCGAAGTCGCGAGAAATGTTGCCGCCACAACTTCTAAAAGATGCTGAGCGTTTCGTTTCAATCCTCAAAAGTGACCCGGAACTTCTGCATCGCCCAGAACTCAAGTTCCTAAAAGACTATTTATTGAGGTAACTGATCGTCAGTTTTGGTTTCAATGTTTAGTCTGGGAGCCACGATCCCTCCTCCTTGTTCTTCTCACGTGCCTCCATCTGCTGAGCCGAAATGCGACGCCAAAGCGGATGAGTCGCCGGACGAACCAGAAAGCGAAGAGTCAGAACTTGGTAGTTTCTTCTTAGCGCCCATATTGTGCTAGATTTTGACACAACCGACGTAATTGAGGAGGAGCCCGATGAACCGCAGCCCATGGGTGATGATTCAGTCGAAGTGACTGAAGAAATGGCGGATAAGGCCGACGAAAAGCGCGCTGAGGCACAAGCAAAGTTTGCAGATGGTGATTTTGAGGCCGCGGCGTCTTTATTCACCGAGTCGATTTTAGCCAATCCGACTCGTGCCGTCACCTTTGCCAGAAGAGCTGCGTAAGACCCAAACCTTCTGCCTTACGATTTAGTTGCTATTACAAACTTAAAAAACCTGCATCTGCCATCCGCGATTGTGACAAGGCCATCTCGTTAAATCCCGACAGTGCTGCTGCCTTCAAATGGCGTGGTTTCGCTAACAAGTACAACTACTTCGTAAAATTACGTATTTTTAAGAGCTCTTGGTCGTTGGGAAGCTGCTTACTTGGATCTGCAAACTTCCCTTAAGTTAGATTACTCGGATGATGCTTACGAGGCCATGAAAGCTGTTGAACCTAACGTATGTTCACATTGCATCCGTTTTAACACGTCTTAGTATCAACGTATTCACGCGCACAAACTCAAGTGGGAAAGGAAGCGCGAAGAGCGCAAATACAAGGAATTGAAGAAGGCTCGTGACGCTCGTCAAAAGGCGTATGAGGAGTCCAAGCGGGTGAGTAATTAAGACCTCAGGGTGGTCTAAAATCTGGTTAATGTCATCGATTTTTTCCATCTTTTAGCAGGAGGCCCAGTCGGAGTTCCAGATGCCCGGTGGAGGTATGCCTGGTCAGATGCCGGCTGGAATGCAGGACATGTTTGGCAAGATTTTCTCCGACCCCGAGATGATGGCTGCAATGGAGGTACAAATATAGGGTTCTGAATCCCCCTGCTTCAATGTATCTAACCTGTTTTCGGCATTTATAGGACCCCGAACTTCAAGCAGCTTTCGCACAGGGCATGTCGAACCCAAGTGCTTTTAGTGCTGCAGCAAAGAATCCCAAATTCGCGAACTTATTGAAAAAGATGAAGGAGAAGATTAATGTTCCTGGTGAAGAAGAAAGGCCTTCAGCTGCCCCAGGAGGTGATGGTGAGCATATCCTCGCAGTTATTGAATTGAGTTTGTTGCGATGGTGTTCCACGCGTTGCTTGCTCGTCTCCAGTAGTCCTTCATTGGACCTTTTTTAATTTTAGATCTGGATTAGGCCTTACATGTGGTACATTTTTACATTTTTCAAGTGTGAGCGTCGTTTGTTTCTGCTTCGTGTAGTCAAGCTGATTGAGACTCGCGTTTACTAATAAATTATGCGTTCCATGTTTCATGGTTTTTTCATTTACTAAAGTGGGAGGCGTGTATTTGGTAATCTAAGTCTTTCTCGGGCGCATGGCTTTTGTCTCGTAGCCATGTCTGTGATCGTTTTCTCGAAATGGAATACTTTTAACAAACAGGCTCGTTCCAGTTGATAAACATAAATTACTCAGGCTAGCGCTAGCTTCTGGACACGGAAGTGTTCGATGGAAGCGCCTCTTTCTGACCGTCTAATCATTAGTTGGGTTATTTGTCCAATTCCTGCCCAACCCGTGGCAAAAGCTGTCCGCGTTAATGTGAAGTTTTCAATTGGAGCTTCACCCACGTTGGGGGTTAAGCGTCCTGGTTTGTTCTGCGTTTTCGATCCTGAACAACGCCTTTAACTACATTCGAAATATGGACGTAGACCACACATGTTTTTCATCGTTAGTGGTCGGACTGGCTACAGATTCGTGAAAATGTGCCCTATTTTGACTTAAAGACGATACCAACATTACTCATTCCCATCTAGCAGCATTGATGCGCCGAATTTTATTACGTGCCCCTCACAGATCTTTACACAAATGCAAAATTTTGACTGCAAAGTTTATCAAAAGTCTTCTGCAGCCCGCTGGCCATCCATTTGCGAGATGATGTAGTTGATTAGGCCTTTGTGGTCGTCGTCACTTCGAGGGAGTCGGTGCGTGGCGGTTCTGTGGCAGTTCTCACGGAACGCGCTGTCGCCCGCGTTAGCACCACTCTTCCCGATTTCCGATTCGCTGGCACTGCGCATGATGGTGCCGTGTCCCCGAAGCGAGATGCTCGCATTGAAGCGTGGAAAGACGTCGTCGAGGATGGAGCAGCAGCGCTCGAGTGCTCCAAGCGACGGCGCCTGCACGCTGATCTGTTGGACGGCGATGCCGTTGGCGTTCTTCCTCACCGCTGCCAGCAGATGGATCTGGCACTGAGAACGGCGACAAATCGATATTATGCGTCGGTCCGTTTGATCGTTGAAACACTTGAAAAGCGTCTCATCTATCGGCGCCCAAAACTTATATTGCACCGGGTAGTAGGGCAATCGATTGGAGGGCGGTGATTGGCTTTGCCTTTGCTGTTCAATCAAGCTTTTACGAATGCTGTTTTGCTGGAGTTTCAGTTCCTCGTGTAGACGTGATGTGCCGAAGAGGTGAAGCGACATCTTATTTCTTCTAAGGTGGCTCACCGTTGATTTAGGCGGCGGAACATGATGTAGGGCCCGAGTGCTAGAGGTAAGGTTCGTGGCAAGAACATTTTAGCAAAACGTGTGTGCGTCTGAAACCTTTAGATTGTCATGGGAAATCTAGGAAACTCCACAGCCGGAATTATCTACCTAATAAAACTACGATTGTGGACCAATTTAAGAACACCTCTTTGGCTTTGCCAGCTGTTTCGACAACTTTCGAGTTTCTTTTGGCTGCGGAATTCCCCATGTCTGCTAAAATGTGCAAAAATGCGACGAAATGGACGGTTTTTATTGCTCCAAATTACTTCCGCGTGAATAGTTTTACTAGGCATGTGGGCGAACCAAGTAATTATCAGTCATGTTTGGGGTGACAACGCAGACGGCACGCGATGTTCTTTGTAATCCAGTTTAGTGACGCACTTTTTGCAACCATGAAAGTGCGCTTAAAACTGTTAATATCACCATTTGAGACAAACAACGCCGCATGTAAATTATGGCCGCCGGTCTAGATGATGCGCACACACTCGATGATGTTTTGTAATCATGGGTTTTTGTTTACCGCCTGAGCAACCAAGTAGGGTATCAAAATTACGGACCAGGAGAAGTGAATGACTTGCCTCTTGTCCTCTACATCTGAGAAATCTGTTGTAGCATCTGCATTTTGACCAGACAACGAGCCTTCCTGATCGCCATTGGTCTTAAAAGTTTCCACGTCCTTTAAAAACTCCTCAATCATCTTCTTCTTGGACACACACTCACTAAACTCGGGGCTTCCGCCAGGGTTGGCCGCCTTTGCTTCTGCCTGTGAGGTGTTGATGCGTGTAAGGGTTTGTGAATTAAAAGGTCCATCTCCAAAGCCAGGGTCCGGGCCATTCACCCTTCTATCCTCTGGACTAAGCGGAGCACCATTGTCGCTAGGAGTTTCGAGGTTCTGCAATCGCAAGAGCAGCTTCGTGATTATCCTGAGGTCTTCTGTCGACGTGGCGGACCTGCGATCGGCTTTTTCAGCAAACAATTTCGGCGACTGGTGGCTACACTGAAGCGACTTCTTCACCTCTTCCGATAGACGTTGCGACTCCTGCTTCAGCAGGCAGACTAAGTCGTCCTTGTCCACGGCAACCACCTTGCCACTCAGCAGCTCCGTCTCCAAATTCGCGAGGCCGCTCAAAACTCGCACCTCATCGCCAAATAACTCTAAAAAATCAAATTCCGCCGGATTGTGCTTGGGTGATGTGCTGGCTTTTGTGTTCTCTCTGTTAGCATTCGAGTTGGCGTCGACGTGACGCGGTCTTTTGTTGATGTCTGGCTGCGCTGCAACTTTGTCGCCTCTTGCTTGGGTCTGTCCCATTTGGCAAGGCAGATTGCGTCTTTCTACGGCAGCTACATGTGACGCCGACTGACCTGTATCGACTTTTCCGATTTGAATAGTTCACGCGAGTTGCATGGTGTTTGGGCATTAAAATCCCCGTATTTCTTCGGACACTTCTGGCGTCGCTGGCTTGATTTAAACCAGGCAAAACGCCGCGGTCACAAATTAGCAAAAACAGGTTTTTTTAAAAAAAAATCATGCTAAAAATGTCTTCGCTTGTGTGGAGTTAGTGGGAAACCTCCTTCTTACTTAATTGTAACCAATACCTAGTTAGGTTAAAGTTCATTATGCTTAGCAAAAATCACTGTGCAATCCATTATAAAATTAAGTGAATTGAGGAGAAAGACGATTTAAAAGAATAAAATTGAACTGAAATCCCAGGGGACAGTTTTAGGAGGTGCAAAAAAATCGATACTAATGAGTCATGTAGCAGGTGAAGAGTGTACAAGAGACTACAATGAGAAGCAATACCAGCAGATGCACAAGAAGCCACAAAATTGTCGCCTAGAATCACAAAAGCTGTCAACTCTACGTCTGATTCAAGGCATTTTAGCCTTCCCATCCATTGTACTGTTACCATGGTGCCTCTCAAATGTGAGACAAGTCATAAAAAGAAGTGGTGCACAGTTAAAGCGTGAAATTTCGATGTCCACTCCACCTACCTAGTCGTAGTTAGCAAGAAAACACCCTATCGCAGGTTCCGATAAGCTGACGATGTGTACAAGAATAGAGCTACCTGGACTGAATGCGATGACGTGGAGGTGTGCCATTGGAGAATATTCCAAAAACACAAGCTAGAGTGGTAGATTGTTACTTGATACTATTTGATCAACAGACCATTCCTCTAGCAATTGTCTTACTCATGTGGTCTTTGGAGATACATTTTGATCTCACACCAGAAATTCGTCGTCCAAACCCACCGCACCGGTGTTCAGGGTTCAACATAAAACGTCTCCGTTGACAGATGGCTCTTCGCTTGTCGCCTTGTGGTAGTGGTGGTTGGGTCTGTGAGGACGTCGTAAATGTTAGTGTGAACCAACGATCCTTTTCTGTCGATAAGAACGCCCGCACGTGGGTCTGGCAGCTGCCGCCGAACGCTTCGTGGCGTGTCATGGTGAAAACCCAAGGCGGTTGTGGCCCGGTCGCGCGGGCTTTGAAATGCAGCGTGGTGCTCGGCAATGGGGTTCCTCATTTTGATTGAGTGAACGCACCGCCAACTGCGGAAACTGTCAATTTTTAAAACCGACGACAACTGTGCTGTCAAGGCACTCGAGAGTTCAAAATCAGTCGTGTGAGTATCACTTTGGACCTATCCAGCCTAGCCCTCCATGTGCAGTCAC